TTGCCCTCGGTAGAGTGCTGTGGCGTCCCAGCTCACAGCAACCTCCAACTCCTGGGCTTAAGTGATTCTCTTGCCTCAGCCTCCCAAGTAGCTGGGACTACAGGCACCTGCCACAACTCCTGTCTAGTTTTTCCTTGCAGTTGTCATTATTGTTTAGCAGGCCTAGGCTGGGCGTACACCACCAGCCCTGGTGTACGTGGCCAGTGCTCTAACCACTGAGCTCGGGTGCTGAGCCAGTAAACAACATTTTGAATAATATGTTTATCTTTATGAATAGTATATTCTGAAACAGATCTGCAGAATATTTGCAAGCTATTTATTCTATTTACAGGATAAATAGCAGATTTATCCTGTAAGTTATATATTATAGTTTATTCATTCATACTTAAGGTAGCTATGCCATTCACTCAAATATTTATGGCATGGCTGTCTTTCTATGTAAAATATAAATGTTAAGCATAGTGAATTTCTTTAAAATTTTCTGAGCCACATAAAATAGAGACAATGGCAAGAATGATGATAATGTGTGAGCCATGGGTTAGAGACCATGACTGTAAGAGTGTGAGAGGAGAAAGAGACCAGCACAAGTGGGTGAGACTGGGAAATGTGTCAAGAGGGGTAGGGAGTGAGGTTCAGGCAGAGAGGTGGAGAATGAGGGTGAGTCGAATAGGTATTTGGGATAAAGGGGATGCTATGGAGGTAAGAGCGAGCACAACACGGGGCGAGAGGCATGAATGGTGAGTGAAAGAGTTAGGAAGATTTAAATAGATAATTGACTAAATACGGGTAACTCAGACTATGGAAAGATTTGATAGCACAGAACTTCCTGGTTGTAAAAGCCTGTTGGGAGATGCTATGGCATCAGTGTGTCCCCAAAGTTCATGTGTTCAGAATTTAATCCTTAATGCTACTGTTGAGAGGTGCAGCCGAATGCCCTCATGAATGAATTGATGGCCATTATTAAGGGAGTGGGTGAGGTATCTCAAGAGTGGGCTTGTTACGAAAGTGAACTTGGGCCAGTCTCTTGCTCTCTTCCTCTTTGGGGGATGCTCTTTTGCCCTTCAACCTTCCACCAAGCGATAATGCAGCAAGACGCCCCCTCCCGATGTTTGCACCAGGCTCTCAGACTTCCCAGCCTCCAGAACTGTGAGCCATGCACATTTCTATCATTTAAAATGACCCAATCTGTGGTATTCTGTTACAGTCACACAAAAAAATGCTATGACAGGAGACAATATACTTTCCTGATTAGAGAATAACATAAGAACAAGGTTTTCCCAGGACAAGAATTAATCAATGGCATGGAGGATACCATAGGGCAATCTTAGAGAGGTGAGTCTGGCAATCCAGGGCAAGCTCATTTCTCCTTGTTTAGTCATGCACTTTTAATGACCTTGGTTAAGGGAAAATGTGGGGAAGGGACAAGTCTAAAGAACACTCTAAATAAAGGAAGAAGACTATTTAATATGCCATGTGAGGCCTGTGGCACGTCATCCCTCCTCCAGGTACGATACCATCAACTGATCCAACATGCTATGCCATAAAATAAATCTAAAATGCAGTATAAAGAATATATCCGACCCTTTAAACATTCTAGTACAGGTATAGGTGTAATTTAGGCAAATAAAAAATTAACTGGACAATAGAGTTTTCATTGTAACTAAAGTTAATTGATTTTGACAAGTAATTGCATTTTTAAAATTGTACACAAGTACAGGTCTATGACTGTAATATTCTGGAGCATAATGGCAGGATGCAGAATCTCATGTCTTCCTATTTCTATATTTCATTTTAGCGCTGAAGTGTTTCTGACGGGCTATAAAATGTATTGCCACATTTTCCATTTCAGATAGTAGCATTTTATAGTTTGTTCCCTTTGTCAAAAGTGAAAGGCATGTAACTTATACAATTCTTATCTGTGATGAGACAGCATGGTAAGGAGTATTTGCTCTCGCCATTTAGAACAGATATTAGGAACTCATCAAAGTTCCCCTCTCTGTGAGCAGGTATAAAATCCTGAAGGGCATTTCTTTTCCATTAAACACTTCAAGTTTCCTTCTGAAGCCAAAGAAAATACCAATCCACGTCCCTGCAGATTTGGTTTAACATATTCAAATAGATATGTTACTTTTTCTTATTTTCTGCAAACCTTTTCAACTGCACATCTCACTCTACAATGGCCAAATTCAGTCTCTCACGTGGACTCTTAGCATCTACTGTTCAGATGGCAATCTCATTCAGAACCAGCTGCTGTGTTTCTGCTAGCTCCGAAAACCTTAGGGCAGACTGGGGCTGCTATTGCTCCTTCTCCTGCAGGGAGGGATGGCATTGTAGCAGCAGGCGGAGGCAAGGGTACAGCCTTGGGAGCCCTGCACGGGTGAAGCATCACCAGGACAGGGAGATGTGGCAAATGAAACTCGGCCACACAACTCCCTGTGAGGCTCCACCTTCCCCACTCAGGAAGTACACATGGTCACTGTGAAAAGTTCCTCCCTGTGTATTCCAGGCCACGATTATAATTGAAATTTTGTTCGAAGTCAGCCTCCTACTCTGATTAGAAGCTCCACGAAGGTAGAGCTGGCCATTTTTGTGTATCACCGAACCACCAGTGCCAGGTGCAGAGTAAGTACTCAGAGACTATTTTTTGGAATTAACTGACTACAACGGCATATTATGCCTATGGGTTAATTTGACATTTCTACTTTATTCTAATGCCACAACTTACCTTTTAAGGTTACCCATGACTATGAATATGATTATAATTACTCATTCATTTGCTGAATTTAGTATCTGTTTCCTTAAATATCAAGTTAACATAATCATAGCATCCTAACAGGGGATACATCTAATATTATAACATCCCTGGTAGATACTAAATCTTCACTGATCAAAAAAATCTGTCAATTAATCATGATGCAATTAGTCATTAGGTATTTATCAAACACCTACTTTGAGATTAGCACAGCACTTATTTGCCGGGGACCGCTACTGAAGTAATTTTAGCAATGATTCTGTCCTCAAGAAGGATGAATTCTATGGAGAGAAGTGAGACTATGGAACACCAGCAAACACTATGTTGCACATTAATAAATAGTGATTTACATTGTACAGATGCAGAAGAAAGAGAGAGTGAGATTAGCAAAGTTTAGGAAAGTCAGTGCCAATTTCTAAGAGTGCTCAAGGCATGATGGGCTGGGTTTAAATATGAGGATAGGGAGAAAATGGCAGGCAAAAATGTCTAGCAAGGTGGAAGGAATGAAACAGTTATAATGTGTTTACCTCAGAGTGGATCCAAACTAATTACAGGACACTTTGTGTTGTATTGAAATTGGAAATAATATAATAATAATATTTGATTGAAATAGTGCTGTAGATTAACGAAAGTCCTTGGAAGGAACTGTGAAGAGTGTAAGTATCAACTTGGACACAGAGCTCTGGATGTATTTGAACAGAGAAAGTTGATAAAAGTACTGTTTACAGATGGTTATTGTAGCTGTGACACCTAGAACGGACAAGTGGTCTTAACACAAGGGGAGAGAGTGTGTGCGGCATCGTACAGAGAGAAGAAGCAGAACCAGCAGAGGGGCTGCTGCGACCCAGCGCGGAGAGGGTATGCTCCAGACTTAGG